AGAATTGATGTAGCAGTAGTTGGAGACGTTGCTCAGCGGGCGGGGGGCATCAGAGGTAGCGTTCTCGGATCCCGAAGCGCCAGAGGGCAAGGACGCACCTGCCACAGGCGTTGCCTGGAATGCTGGGGGCGTTGCCCCGGTGGCTCGTCTACAGTCGGAGTCAGAGATGGTACGAGGCGCTTCACTAACAACAGGGATGTACCGTCGCAGCGGTCCTCCCTGACAGCGAGAGAGCTCATGAACCAAATCGTAAAACGAGATTTGGAACAAAACAGGGCACTGCGCAGGGTGTAGTCTTTTGTCCGTGACCTTCTTACGACAGCACGGGCAGGGCATGCCCTTGATGAGGACTAGTCCTGATTTGGTGCTCCTGTCAGCAGCTGCAGCGCCATGAGCTGCCCACTCCGGTTTGTGGGCTTGGCGAATATGAGACTTGAGCTTGGTGTTGTCCGGAGACCAGAATCCGCAGATCAGGCAATAAGACATGAGATCTTGGGATTCATCAAGCCTGCCTAGTTCTACCGCAGTGTGCGTCTGCAATGTGTCATGAAGTCGTTGCTGTCTGGGGTGAAGACGAGGGACCTGCTGCAGGTCCGAGGGGGGATGAGCCGCTTCATCGAGCTCCTTCAATTTGGCAGGGTCTGGGCAGGCGCCTGATAACAAATGGTCCTTTAAGCCTTTCATCTGAGGGAATTGCCGGTTGCATGCTGCACACTTAGGAAGCCCTCCTACCGAAAGGGTGTGGGAGAAGGCTCTAGGGACATATCTGAGGACCGAGCCTGGGTGCTTGCGTGCCTGGTGTGTGCGTAGGCCGACCTCGGTGTCAAAGGCCTGAGCGCATGTTGGGCATGCATACGATTGGGGGGCTTCCTGTTGCTTAATTTCTTCGGAGAGCTGCTGGAGAACCTCTGTATACCCGACAGAGAGTGCTTCCGCTTGGTGCACAGCTTTCTGTGTCAGCGAGACGTCTCCTGCAGGTGTTTTCTTTTGGCGGAGATGCAAGCGTTTGACACGATTGGCCTGTCTCGCTTGTAGCTTACAAACGGGATCTATGATCTCGTAGGAAGCGTAAAGGTCAGAGGTTGACATGTGGGTGAGATGCACCGGATTGTTAAGAACCGCACGAATCTTGCGAGCGTGCCAGGCGCGCAAAAGTCGAGCCGTTTCAAGAGTTAGACCGACGTCGACTAGCCCAGAGGCCACCGTCGCCCAGACGGTGCTGTGCCAGATATGGAGCCTCGATTTCGGCCCTGCAATGCGTCTGTTGTGAACAAAGCGACGTACCTGTTGCAGTTTGGCGTTGCCCTCCTGCAGCCGGAATGTAAGAGTGGCCTTCTCGAAATTCGAGTAGGAGAGCATGACTCCTAAGTACTTGAAAGACGTGACCATTGGAAAGCCTTCGTGAGACTTGGATGTCCCCAACCGCCACATCTTGTGACGAGTACCATCAGACGCGGTGCGCCAATACGTGTGCTGGGACAGGGCGCGTTGCGCCTGTTGGCCTTCGAGCTTTACCATGACTGTGCACTTGGAATTGTTCACTGCAAAGCCATGACTGCGGACCAACTGCAACAACTGCTCTATCAATGCATGAGCGCGTTCTAGATCTTCCAGCGAGTGGATGTCTCGGTGGATTGTCAGATCGTCCGCGTAGCCTGTGAGGTAGTCCACTACAGCTTTGACTCCTACTAGAGCTATGAGCTCTCGAAAGATGGTGCCTGTGAGCATAGAGAAGAGAGTGGGAGCAAGCTTGCATCCTTGTTTAATGCCCGCCGTGGACTGGACGGTATCGGCTTCACCTTGCGTGCGAAAAGTGTACGAACTGCCTGCGTGCAAGGAGGCGACAAGATCAATGAGGTCCTGTGGGACACCTGCGTCGTGCAGTGTGTTGAGTAGGTCAGACCTGTTCACCATATCGAAGGCTTGCGACAAGTCCAAGGCAAAGCAAATGCCTCCTATCAACTGAGGACGTGTATGTCCTGCGTGAATCTGGTGTCTGGTTCGCCGGGCCTCCTGGCAGTTACTGCGCACTTGAGTGACATGTCCTACGACCCTGCCTGGCGCGTCAGATAGACCGCGTTGGGGTTGGTAGGCAAACTGAGGAAGGCCCCGAAGATATTCAGCCGTGTAGGGAGATAGCTTGTCTCTGCAGGCCCCTGCCAGGCCTTTCCCGTCAGGGCGTATGATGCCCAGGGGGCGTAGATTGCTAGGCTTCGTGGCTGGCTTGTTGGGCTTAGGAATAAAACACATGTCAGCATCCTTGAGCGGTGGCTGAAGAACATCCTCAGCCGACTGTGGGCGTTGCCCAATGGACTGCAGCGTTGCTGCTAAAGCCTCACCCGCATCCGCCGAGCACAATCGCCAGGACGCCGCAGGCGCGGAGCCTTGAGGGACCGCTTTGTGTGGTCGTATAGAACCGATGTGCTTGGCTAGCAGTCCTGCCGGGATGTCCGGCAAAGAAGTTACATGGTGATCTAGGGGAGGGTGTTTGGCAAAAACCTGTTCCACGTGCTCACGGAGCAAACGGAGCTCTGAGTGTGAGTCCAGGAGCAAACCATCCGGGCCCTGAAGCTGTGCCTTGGTCTGTGGTGCCCATGGCCTGAGTTTTTTGAGGGTTTTGTGAGCAATGTACGAGTCATGGCGGGCGCATGCTTCATCAACTTCTGCCTGAAATGCACGATGGCGTTCCTTCTTCGCCAGGTAGAGAGCCTGTTTGTGCCATCGGCTCAGGTCCTCCAGGGACTGATCTAGGTCGGCTAATGTGGTGACAGAGTCCTCATGTAGAGAGCGAATGTGCGCTACTCTGTTTTACATGCGCAAGGTTGCGCGGTGTTGCGCGGTCTCCGGCACTTGCTGAGGTCTGGGTTTCGGAAAAAACATAGCAGAAGCCTCGAGCAGCACTTGGTTGACCTCGTCGGGCGTGTGGTACCTGGAAGATAGGCGCTGGCTTACCCAAGCCTGCATACGGTCAGCAATGGGCAGGCCAGAGCGAACTGCTGTTTCCAGGGCCTCCTTATTGTAGGTTAGGGAGGGGCTGGAAGGTTTGGGCAAATTCCAGTGCTGGGTAGGGCGGAGCTGAGCGAATACAGGCAGATGACCTCCACGTTTCCACCGTCCAAGTTGCAGGTCCTGTCGTGGCCCAGCGCGCTTGGCCATACCTTTCGCTGAGGCCTCAGAAGTCAGCAGGAAATCAATCTGTGAGCCCTTTCCGTTCAGGAAGAAGGTGTGTCCAGTGCCGCAGGACCAAGTGTTGAGCGCTACCAGTCTGTGAGAGGAAACCAAGGCCTGGAACTGCTCATCCTGCATTTGAGAGTGCTCTGGCTTAGTGCTGCACCGACCTACCAGACCCTCTTGCGGGGTCAAGCGTGCGTTGAAGTCACCTGCCAGCAGAAATGTGTCCCTCGCCGGAACAGCTCTGATGGATGAGGACAGGTCACGTAGCAGGCGCGAGCGATCTTCCTTGTTTTGTTGAGGAGTCTTCTTAGAAGACCACGCATGTTGATAGACCGCAAAGACATGAATTCGAGCTCCCAGCCACGGAAAGGTGACTTGAATGAGTCGGCCTCGGCGCTGTTCACGCCATCTAATCTTTTTCTTGTCTATCAAGGGGGAAAGGAGGACCATAACCCCATCTGCACGACCAGTGTCATGTATCGGCGGCTGCGATGCAGCACTTCGCACTGAGCGTTGCCCTGAAGTTGATTTGGCTTTGGGTGCCCGGGCAGCTCCCTTGGTGGCAGAGCTTATGCAGTGCCAACCCTCAACGTCAAACTCTGCTGTTTCGCTCCAGTGCGTCTCCTGCAGGACTAAAATATTACAGACATATTGGGCCTCGGTTCGTAGCCATGTCTTCACTTCTGCCCATTGCTGGATGCCAAGGTGCCCAGCGTTCCATGAGAGGACACGGAGCGACTTACTGGCTCGTCCACCTCGCGGACGTGAGCGGAAGCTGTCTGTGCGGCCTGAGGGAGCCGAAGGATCCGTGGAACTAGGCTGTACAGGAAGGAGGGGAGGGGAGGGGGGGGTAAGTCCACTGCGACGCAGATGCTCAGGCGTCAGCACGCCGTTTCTATACTGGATGCTTTCCTGTGTTCTGTGTACCCTATTGCAAGCCTTTCGAAAGGCCTTTTTGCGAATGCTCTCAAAGGAATGCTGGTGCATTGGCGTTGGCGCCGTCCGCTAGTTTCGCCGGAAAGAGAGAACTCGATCCGACTCCCTTCACCTCGCGGATAGGTGAAAACCACTACCGCTTACCTCTTGCCAATGTTGTATAACTGCAGACAGAGGCCCGGGAATTGGGACCCGGTAGATCACAGCGACACGTGGCTCCAGGGATGGCTATGGCTCAGAAAGAGGACAGTCCCTCAAGCTTCGCAGAAGGGGGCCGTTGCGAGCCTCTAGCGTTGGTACCCGGAGCCCTGTTAGCAGTGCTATACAGCCTGCTGTGATCCATAGCGGCTACAACAACAACAACAACAACAACAACAACAACAACAACAACAACAACAACAACAACAACAACAACACGCATGCTGGTCATAACAGTAGCAACAACGAAACTAGCAATAAGAAGTAAACGACTGCTTGTACAACAACAGGTCGCTGAAACTCCAGCGTCGTCTCCTCTCGCAGCAACAGAAAGCTTGAGGCAGGCACGAGGAAGATCGGGGCGGCGCCAAACCAGTCCATGAAGTGGCGCGGCAGGGCATAATCGAAACAAGGAGGTGATGGTATACTATCATACTTGCGACTAGCGATCATGAGGATTATTAACCAGAATAGGAACAAGAGGACGTGCGGCTGTGCTGAGGGTTTATGGCGGACTTGAGGCAGTAGAGGGTCAGAAGATGTTGGCCATAGGGGCAATGGAACAATCAGTCCGTGCATGATGCTGTTGAATCTAGGCTTTTGCAAGTCTCGTGTTCGCAGGTTTGGGCTTGATCGCTTCAGAGGAGGCAGACACTTGGAAAGCTGCATGGCTGGATGATGACAAGAACTTGTCAAAATCGGGATTCCGATCTTCCGAACGGGTAGTGGGCGCACTGAAGCTGGGGCAATCCGGCGATTGTGGAGTGGAAGCCGATGGACTGGCAGACATGACCAGCTTTCAAACAGGCTTCAGGCCCAGAGAGTTTGCAGATTGTGCGTCCTGGTGAAAAAACCCCTATGAGCCTGCAGACAGGGGATCTCTACACCACCAGGTAGCCCAAGGGTGAAGCCTCATAAAACTTTTCCACCGATGCCGCCAGCATGGGCTGGTCCACCTGGAGCTTGGCATGAGCTCGACATTCATTGTTGAAGCTACGGGTCAGGCTAACGCCTTGCGTCATGGCTTTGCCCCAAGCAAGTCTCTAGGACTCCAGGGTAGTTCAACAGAGAATTCACAGAAGATCTACGAAGCACGTCCGAACTGCAGCAGAGATCTCCCTTTCGCTTATCTGAGAGGGCTTACACCGACCGAAAGCTTGCAAGCAGACTTGACCCGCATACACACGCGCCAGCCGAGCCCCTGAACCCCCAATGAAACCGCCACCACCTTCGCCCACAGCGGCAACAACAACGACAACAACTAACGGACGACGGGAGCTGCAGAAAGTGCGTATCTTACAAGTAAGTCACGGCCAGTGGTAGCAAGAAATGCCGCACAAAACGCGACAGTATTTGTGATATTGCGAGGAAACATAAGCAGTAACGGCAGGCCGTTATGGCAAGTGCCGTAACCTCTATACCAGCAGGAACGGGAGTCATCTCTGTGATAGTGCGAATCATCCGCACAATTCTAAGCACAATGCTAAGAGTCACATTCCTCTTAGCTGTCGTCGTGTAGTTGTGGTGGGGATCATCATTAGCACAATCATCGTGATCAGCATCGTAATCCTTTTGATCCATCATCATCATCACCATCATCATCGCGATCGTCATCATCACCATCGTAAAAATCGCAGTCGTCGTCTTCGGCATTGTCGTCGTCATCATCATTATACTCTCATCATCAGCATCATCATTACATCAACATCATCATCAATATCTTCATGGTCATCATTATGGTCATGACTATCATCTTCATAATCACATTGACGGCACTGTCAACAACATTAAGAGTTACACTAGCTCCAGCTGCAGCAGCTGCTGCTGCATCCAAATTTGTGTCTGCATTATCGCCGTCGTGGTGACTACGGCCAGCCTGCTCACTATGACAACCATTTCCGTCATTGTGATAAGCCTCTTGTCCTTTATTACAAACCACGTTGCCTCGAAAATTGCGCGCTCGCCGGGCTTCATTGTCCGTGCCGCGAGGTCGAATCCCTGGTCTGAGGCTTGACTTGAGTGTTGAAGTTTGGCTAGGCTCAGCATCACTAGGCCAAATGCATCTACTTGTCTCGACGCGTTCAAAGAAATGCTGCTTGTGAAGGTGCCATGGGCTTGGGCATCACTCAAAGCCGTACCAACCTGGCAAAAACTTAATGCCAAACCAACCTGTAAACCCTGAAGTAATGAAGAAGGCAGGGGGGTCTTCCAGTAGCGAGAGCTTGTCGAAAAGGCCTATAGGTCCCGGCAATGTTCAGAGGCCCCATAGTACTATAGTATTATAGTATTATACTATTATAGTATTAGCACTAGTATCAGTAGCCTAAAGACGAATCTACCATGAGAAACTTGCCTTGTACATGCCAGGATCTCCCAGGTACCATCTCACTGGGCGCTTCTTGACCTCCATGATGGGCAGCCCAAACATGCAGGGACAGGGTCAAACTTTAGGGCAAATTTTCGGGCTGAAGGGCTAGATGAGTTTAGGGAGCTCCGACATGTGAAGGAACGCAGCCTGACCGACAAGCTCTTGATCCGCTTGGATCACGAGCTGCAACGACTCAACTGCACTGACTGATAGTCATATGAGGGTAGTTCTCTCAATTACGGTCCCATTTTAGGTCCCCAATATACTATGGCACCCTAATAAGAAGGACCCTAAACAGGACCCTACCCCACCAGATCGATCCAAATTGTTCGGAGGCTCGGCCCCAGGCTTTTCTGTAGAAGTCGCCGACAAGGCGAGGTGCCTTTCCGGCTTCCTGACGAAATCCCCCACAGGTCGTGGCTTTGGGGGAATTCGACCGCTGGGGACACGCTGCCACCACACGAAGTTCCCCTCATGTATCTCGGGAGTCTAGAACTCCGAACGCCCAACTCCCAACGCCGAACGTCGCGGCCGGCGTTCTCCTGATCAAGGAAGTTGACCATGTCCATGTACTCCTGCGCTCCATGGGATTTTAATTTGTTTTGGGGAGGGGGTGCAGGGCTCAAGAGCTGGCTGGGGATGGTGAACTGTTGCAGTGCGACCGGATATGCTCGGGAAGTGGGCGAGCAAGGTCTTGCGACGTATCGACACAAGTCTATGCTCGACTCAACATGACAGGGAAAATTATGCCCGTGCCTGATACACGACAATGTGTGTGTGTGTATGTACATATGTGTATGTTGTGTGTGTGAGTGTCTGTAAGTGCAATCTGCACGGTACACGAATCTATCGTTCCTGCTACGGGAACATGTTGCGCTCGTTTAGACCGGATGTTTCGGCTGGTAGCGTTTCTGCAACATGAAGATGTCTGCTGAACCAAATTCCCGCTTAGACATGGCTTTAAAGAGAATTGCACAGCAACTGCCTTAACTCGTCCCGACGAGAGCCTAGCCTCGGTGGCACTCAGCAAAGGCCAACACTTTTGAGCTCTCAAAACAACGTGTAGCGATGTTTAGATGTCTAGGCGTGTAAACATAAACCATACGCAGATCGAAGCATACATTGAGGTTCTTCACGGGTGGAAGGATGAATGGATCTCGCTATGCCGCGCTCCTTGAGCTCGTCCCGTGCTTGCTTCGTCTCCGGGAAGGGCCTCGCGGAGATGATTTCGGTGTGTGTTTACTCAGGTTTCCCAAGGCTCCGGAGTCTTGCTCAGCTCCCAAAACCTGTGAGGCTGCGAGCACCGGGCCGATACTCCTTGCTGTTGTAGAGCTCCTCACCTCGCCATGGAGCACTCAAGGACTCAAGGTACCAGGTACAGCCATGCTCATCGCAGCACTCATGAGCATTTCACCGTTGGCTCACTGATCACCTAACCAACACTTCAGGGCATGATAACCTCGCTTTTCGCGACCCAAAAGCTATCGTTGAAACTCGCTTTGACAGAGGAGTGTGCTAGAAGGATGGCACAAGCTTGCAAGAGACCGGGCAATGTACCCTAGGAATGATGTGACACCACGATTATTGGTACAGCAACTGACGAGTATGGCAACTCGACCGTAACAAGCACGACATCAATCAACCCAGCAGTTTTAGAGTTTACAGTACAGTCGTTCACTGCGAAAGATGTCTGAGCAACGAAACAGCAGTAGAGCCACATAACGCAGGGAATTGTGAGACTGCATGCGGGTATGAGTCGGGTTGTATGGCGCCTCCGAACGATGTGATGACCATCTGGCAAGTCACCACGACCTTTGATGGTCTGTGCTCTCCGTGGGTTCCTAACTAGTTCTCGCCGTCATGGATAGGAAGTGCCTTCTCGGAGCCTTTCTCCAGCCAGCGCGGCTGTAACCAGTTTGGAGGCTCATCAGGATCGCCCTTTCAAAGTTTCCAATGCGGAACATGCAGCTTGATGAATCACGCACGTCTGCAACCTCCCCGTACTCCTCTATGCGAAGTTTGCGGACGGTACCTGGCTGCTTTTGTGTCCAAAGCTCGGACCAGAACAAGGCAATGCCGAAAGTTTGGCAGAAGTACCATCAGGGCAGAGTTCCGCAAGACCCGCAGCAATGTCACTCACGGCCTCTCCATGAAAGCCGTCTGGACTCATCTACGCATCCGACCCAGCTAGAGAATAGTTTGCCGGACATGACGGCGAACAGTTTTAGCTAGGTACCAACATCACACCAACAAGGTTTGTCCAGTCTGATACTAGGCCACGCAGTCACATCTGACATGCAGTGCCATTGCTACACATGCTGGAGCAATAGATCCATGTGCGCTGGTGCTCAAGCTTGACCAGCATCGGACGACCTTGCCCGCGAACTTCTTGCGGTCCTGGCCACAACACGCCATTGCATCTTCTAATCCCGCAGTATTGTGCACTTGTATTCCTTCAACAGTCACGGTAGGAAAGCCTACTCCCCTGCTTTTGAAGGCTTGCTCAGGTGGATGTCCAGCCTTGCCGGTCTTCTGATGTACCTGTCGCAGCATCAAAGATGCATCCTGCGGGCGGGAACAATTTCTTTCCATTTTACCTCACCTATGCTGCCTCGTTCAATCCCGCTAATCGGGCACCAACACTCGCATTCAGGGCCTGCGTTTTGGAGCCTAGATTAGACATCCGAATTCATGTTTGAGGGCAGTTTGCTGCTGACCACGCCAGAAACAATCGCATGACCCTATCGGGCGATGCTGTACTACATGGTACGACATGTTTCTTTCTGACATAAACATGGCAAACATACGTAGACAGACACAGACAGACGTAGACAGACATAGGAACAAAGATAGACAGATAAAGCTAGAGGCAGTTGACAGAGAGCTATATAGATAGATAGATAGGTTGATAGACAAATAGGTAGGTAGATAGACAGATGTTAAGACTCAGTAAAGAAAGTCCAACAGAGATAGATTGCAGGAAAGTCTGGATGATAGCAGCCGGGGTAATTCCTCGATCGGGCCGTAGTTGCTTAAGGACTTTGCGCTTCTTGGCTCCTTGTTGTCGGGACTGTGCTTCAGCAGGACCTCAGAAATCGCTTTCACAATCTGTCACCTCAACAGTTTCAGCCGATTCTGGACTGGGGAGCAAGCATCTAAGTCCGCTTCGCACTTCTCCCACAAGGAGAAAGCGAAGAAGGCCTCTCCAGATGGGCCAGCACCGCCAAAGCAACACAAGCGCAAAGCTGTGCCCGCCTGGGCTCTTCGGTACAAGGCCTTCTCATTCGTAGGCTGCTTGTCAAGGATCTTGTCAGTTAGGTCCTTGACCTCCCAATCACAAGCAAAGCTGCGCGTCTCCACCCGAATGGCGCATCTTTCAATTGGCAAGCCACCGTTTCCGGTGCCCGGTGCCTTGCCCCACTCACCACGCTTGATGTGCAACTGCGCCAGGTTGTTCCTGAACTATGCAGAGTTCTGTGGGCGAACCTTGGCTTCGTGTAGAGGGTAGAGTTCAGAATACAGTGAAGGAGGGATCCCCTTCCCACCACGACACGATGCAAAGCGTTTCGCTTCAATTGCGAAGGAAGCAATGCAAGTGTCGTCCGGACGTGGTCATCAATGCATTGCCGGTCGACGTACCCTAGAGAGAGACAGAGAGAGAGAGACAGAGAGAGAGAGAGAGAGACAGAGCAACACCATCCCCACATACCGGTAAGCTATGTAGGGAAGTATTTACTGCCAACACCATGATCGCATCTGGCAGCCTGAGAGTGCACAGCATATTGATGGCTTCATCGGGAAGCTGCCCAAGCGCCAGGATCCTCAGGGTGGGATAGCCTGTTCTCAGAGAGGTTCATCTCAAGGCTCCCATCGACGTTGAGACAAGAATGAATCAAGTGCTGGTCAACACAGTTGTCTGTTTGAAGCAGCAGCAGCAGCAGCAGCAGCAGCGGTAACTAGCAGTGCTCTTGCAACTACTGACTCCACAATGCTAGACACATCCCTAGCTTGATGTACAATGAACGCTTGCCCTTGTCAGGAGGTTTTTTTGCTGAAGCTTGAAACTGTAAACCCGCAAAACCGAATTTGAATAGTTCTGACACATACCCTGGCTCGGTATGTATAATTCGCTTGGGATACGACCTTACGTTTACTGCATAGTTTGCGACTAATTACCACGCGAAATTCGAAATCACGAGAGAAAAAGTATTCGACCTGATCTAGCATGCAGTTCGCAATGCTGTTTAATTGGCATGTAACATCATGTCCCACGTGCGCCCTGAGCCTCCCACATGCCGATTCCGGCTTCCCAGTCTGCCTGGGCCTGCAACGCCGCGCACAGGAAGCGAGATCCCAATTCGAAGCGTAAAAACCTAAAGCTGAAAAGAGAGGCTGAAGAGGGTTGCCCAGGGCCTGTGCCAAGTCGCCGGCCTTGAAAGCCTCATTGCCGGACCTGGCCCGGCACCGCCGGAAGCATTAGGGAGCAGTGCAGGCGATCTCTAGGAGACTGCCAGAGTTGAGGCAGACTTCGATACCGCATCGCACTGCACGATATAACATGATGTGATCCAGAGATGGTCTGGCACTCTGAAGTTATGTATCTAGTGAGAAGGGCGCCGTCGATCATCGGCAGACAGTCTCGGTCGAAGCCAGGGCGGGACGGCTTCTTCAGGGTGGACTCCACACGGCCCACGCAGAAGGCCTCGAAGGGATCACTTAGACCAAGGTGGAGTTCGCAGTCCGGCTTAAGGTTGTTGTTTTTGTCGCCTCCTTTCCTCCTGCCAAGTACTGTTAGTCGGAATGCCTCCTAGACTGAGGCATTGGTTTATTGGTTCGGGAACTCACTGAACGGGGTCCACCACCATCACCACTCTACCCCATACGGAGCAGACCCGAGTTCCCACTCCAAGCACAGTGCAGCTTACAATTGGCCCCCTAACACAGACCTCGTCACTCCCATTCATGCAACACACAGCCCAGATAGGCAAAACAGTTCGAGCCTCCATAGGTGTTGGTTTTTCTGTGGTTTTGAGCATCGAGTTGGATGTCATGTCCACAGAGCAAAAACTTAAAAGTCCGAAGCCAACTACATGGTGCGCGCCCCGTTGGCGCCCGTGGTACGGGAGGCACTTCCCAGAATGTTCAAATGCTGAAAACCATGGCAGGGGCGATAGATTCGTAGCTCAGGGATTTTGAGGGCTAGAACAGGGCTTTTAAGAACCCGGAAGTAGTTTGGGCCATGCAGCAACAACAACATCACCGTCACGATCGTCAGCCTCATCATCATCACCACCATCATCATCACTGTGACACTGACACCACTACCAGCATCACTGTCGAATCTTGCGCCGCGTGGTCACCATCGTTTATTGCGGGTCTGCGCGACACAAGTCTCGTCCATTTTGCCACTGCGCTGTCCCAAGCCAGTGTCACTTCGAAGCCGTTGGCGAAAAGTTTTAAGAGTCCCAAGCTTAAGTGGGCCCCATCGGGAAGCCGCGAAGACGACGTTACGTTCATTATGTATGTACGCAATGCTACTGTTCGAGTACTGATTTCTAAATAGGGAAGGACTACGTGATAACCAGGACGAGTTAGGAAGAACATAGAGTGCAACATAAAAATCCTAGTGAAGATTTTAAGACGTCATTCCGAGTAACTGCGAACAGAACGTTATTAACCCCCCCCCCCCACCCCCCCCCACCCCCAAGCCAGAAACCCAGAGCAAAACCTCTGAAGCCAAAAAAGCAGAAATTTGAGACCCCTTCAAAAAGTCCTGAAACTCCGAAGTGCCCGAAGTAACGAAACCCTCGCAAATACTGAGTCCAAAAAGGCCGAAAGCGGAGAATAACCCACGGGCGCGGTCCAACTACATAGTACCCGAAGCGCTGTGAGTCTTCGCAGCACGCGGTAACTTCGTCTCACACGGTACCTCTATGCCTTGATCTATGCCAAAAAAGACATACTGGGACAGGGTTTTCCCGAGGCCTCGTAGCTAGCGAAGTGTCGACCCTGCACCCAGGACAGGTCCGAGGGCTTCTCCTGCGAGTACATGCGACAGACTCTGTCTACAATGAGTCGAGAGGTCTTGCCTACAACATAGTCCTTGAGCTGACGTTTCCAGTCATCCTCCTCCCGCCGCTTCTGATCGATGATCTGGCGGAGTTCTAGGCTCAACATGCCACCGGCATGCTTGGGAGCACCGCTCAAGGAACATCGTCACGTGATCTGATCTAGCACGCCACTAACACCCGATGCTCAAAAACGCGACTCGCCCACAGCGTCCACTTGTTCTCGTGCATCAAACACCTGCACAAGGACCAGGCTGTTGCTCTAACACTACGCAGCGGCTTGTAGCTTAGAGCTTCAGATGTTAGGACGTGCAGCCTCAGCAGCGTCTGCATGAAACTTGCTACGCGGAACCTGCTGCTTCTCGTGCTTCTTCAACTCTTCCCATGTCACCTGCTGGTATTTCACCCACTGCCCCCGCAGAGGCGAACGCAACCGGATTTCGTAGCTTTGCTGAGTTTGCTGTGGCTACCATGACTTGCGCACGTCTCCGGTCTGAAGGCGCTCATCCCGGTCATCGTCGCCGATTTCGTTGAACCTCAGAAAAGGCGAAGCTGTCGCAGGGCAATACCCCAAAGCAAGGCCGAGTTTGAGCGATGCATGCTTGAATTGCGTTAGTCACTTAGAGGTGCAAGTCAGACTCCTAGAAGAGCTTCTCGATGCCTAACACAGAGAAAGCACTAGGGAATTCTCAAGCTGAACTTCTTCAGATGAGACCTCCATGAAAGCGCGAACCATGCGAACCCTCCACCACAAACCCGTGCCCAGTCTGCCCTACCCACGAAGCCGTAAACCCTGCTCCCTCAAGCTTGCACCTCTTCAACCCTTAGGCCCAAATCCTGCATCTTTGAGTGTGAGGAAAACCATAAGCCCTAAATCCCTGCCTGCTGTAGTCCAAGCGGTCTGGCTTCCGCGCAGGAGGGTTCACATCCTTCTTTCTGACAGGGTTTGAACCAATCCAACCAAGCCGGGCTTCGGGCTCAACACCAACAGTGCTCGCTATATCGACGTTTTCCAGTTTGGTACGTGGTGTACTATGTACGGATTACTGCACCGCAGTGTATTCTGTCTCATCGCAAGCTCAGGTGTTGCCGACAATACTACTCCATGTCATGTGATGCGCTATGCTGGTGTGCTGCACTGCGGTCCAGGAGATCTGGGACCCCTCAATTACTACCCATAGGCCCTGAATGCAGGGTGCTCACCAAGCCCTGTCCTTGTTTTCAGTAGGTTGCAAAACCTGCGGGCACCAGGGAGCGATGGATGCCCTTGTAGTGCAGTGTAGTGGAAGTACAGACTTCAAGGCGTATCCGCGACACAGCAAATCCGGAGAATCGCCGAAGAAGCTATGCGCAGCTGCGAATTGTGCGTCGGTGACAGGTCTCACGCAAGACCTTCCAGTGTGCTTGCCCTCCTCTGCTGCCGACCTTCCGCTCCCTGCGCTGGTTGACGTCGTCAGTGTCATGGCTCTTCTTCTCCTTCAATGAAGGCCTTGGACGCAGTGGCAAAGACAAGTTTGGCGGACATCTCGCCTTGCCGGGTGCAACGGCGTAAGCAAAAACGAAGTTCGAAAGCGAACATAAGGCGGGAACATGTCCCCCACGCCGGGGAAGGCCTCAACGCGGAACGAGTTTCTGAAAGCACAAGGCTGAAACACGCCACATTCCTCCACACAGTCTTTCAAAAGCTTGTTCCGTGGACGTGTGCGTCAGAAGCCTGCTTCTCAAACAGGAGGCGGCAGGCAAATGCCCTCAAGACCTCTTACCCCATGACCTGGGCATCTACTGTTGGACGCCGAAGCCCGTGTCCTCAAGTCCTCAACCTTAACCCGAATCGTCCAAACATGTCACACAATGCTCCCTCTCGAGAAGTACAGTACACAGTACAGTACAAAGGCCCGGGCCCGTAGTGTCGAGGAGTTCGGCGGCGTGCACACAGAGACTTACTGCGACGCTGCTGCACAAGTAAATACTACTTCGCTTCGCGTTGCTGCCACAGCTACTAGCACGCTTCTCTTTCACTTGTTGGTTCGAGAGCCACGGCAGTCGACCAAAGGACCCACACACTGCTTGCATCTAGAGTTGGCTTGCATGTCAGATGGTGTCTGGTTGAACTTGCTCCTGCTGATGCTGCATCTGTTATGCTTTGCGAGGCTGGAGCCAAGACAGAAGGGCAATCAATGCGAATAGGCTGCACCCACGATGTAGCTTCTGTCAAGATTGTTACGACTCTCCATTCAAACTGAGCAGCCGGTGAAGCAGTGACAGACCCCAGCCTGCTCTAACTTGAACTTCTCCTGGGTCAAAGGATGCTTTTGGCTCGAGGGTTTGGGGTTCTGGCATTCAGGGCTTTTGGCTTTTTGGGATTTGGGGTTCCGGGGCTTGGGCTTCGTTGCAATAATGTCAGACGAGCGCATTTGAGGATGTCGGGCGCATCCAAAAGCTTCAATACAACGTCGTTCTACAAACAAACTACTTGACACAACAGTTTCGGAATCCTACACACATACATATATCTACTGTCCCTCACCCGACTTCCCCAGCCAAAACAGCAAAACACTAATGGTACTAAGTACATGTAAGCATGGATGGCCGGGTACCAGGCTGCCCCTTCCGCAGTGAGCTTCTCTACGGCTTCCTTCAGGACCGCGGCCGCAGCCTGTGGAAGAAGACCACGGGCCGCAGACTCGGACTTCAAGAATACTTCATACAGGGTTTTCCCCACACCTTTTCCCATACAGAGTTTAGAATTTAGGGTGCGGGATTTCTGGCGTAGGGTTTAGGGCTTAGGATTCGAAGCAGGGCTTAAGGCTGCAGGTCTGACGATGTTCTGCAACCCAGCAATGTGTAGTATGCTGCCGTCATGGCACCAACAGTGAAGAAGCTGCCACGAGCCTTTGAAGGAGCAGAACAGGTATGTTCAAGGCGCCAGTATACGCAAACCAACTCAGCAAGTGATTGCCTGAAGCCCCAGCCGCAAGTGCAAAACTTTTCCCATGCCTCAGCTGCTGCAACGGCATCATCGAGCTCCTGTCGACAACGTTCCGTTTGACAAGCATGCTACTACGAGCTTCATTTCGTAGCTGAAGGCGAAGCTCTGCTTCCAACCGGCTCGGAGGGAATGAGATGTGGGTGGAAAACCAAACGAGAACGCGATCATACTTCAGAATGTCAGAAATTCACGCACGTTGTGACACATGAGGTATGAGGCACCTCCATGTAGGACTCAGGAGGAAAAATAGCACGAAGCTGTCGCCCCTGCAGTAGCAGTAGTAGTAGCAGTAGTAGTAGTAGTAGTAGTAGTAGTAGCAGTAGCAGTAGCAGTAGCAGGAGTAGTAGTAGTAGTCGTCGTCGTAGTAGTAGTAGTAGTAGTAGTTGTTGTTGTTGTTGTAAAAGCAGGTAATAGCAGTGGCACAGTAGCAGTAGTAGTACTAGTAGTAGTAGTAGTAGTAGTAGTAGTAGTAGTAGTAGTAGTAGTAGTAGTAGTAGTAGTAGTAGTGGTAGTAGTAGCAGTAGTAGTAGTAGTAGTAGTGGCAGCAATAGTAGTAGTAGCAGTAGTAGTAGCAGCACTAGTAGTAATAGTGGTAGTAGCAGTAGTAGTAGCAGTAGTAGTAGTAGTAGTAGTGGTAGCGTTAGTAGCAGCAGTAGTAATAGTCGTAGTGGTAGTAGTAGTAGTAGTAGCAGTAGTAATAGTAGTGGAAGGTAGTAGTAGTAGTAGTAGTAGTAGTAGTAGTAGTAGTAGTAGTAGTAGTAGTTAGTAGTAGTAGTAGTAGTAGTAGTAGTAGTAGTAGTAGTAGTAGTAGTAGTAGTAGTAGTAGTAGTAGTAGTAGTAGTAGTAGTAGTAGTAGTAGTACTAGTGGTAGTAGTAGTAGTAGTAGTAGTAGTAGTAGTAGCAGTATGTTTCGTCGTCGTAGTAGTAGTAGTAATGGTAGTAGCAAAAACAAAAACCCCACACAGGTATGCGGGGAAGAAACGGCAGTGCCTGTACTCAACAGCATCATCCAGGATTGGCCAAGAACTGTCTGAACGCAATACTAGTATCTGCAAAACAGTTGACATCAGTAGTACAACTTACGCCGAGAAAAACCTCCTGGATGAAACAACTACGTCTGATGCTGACGGCAAGAAAAACAAGAGCACTGCAAGGCCGTCATAACGACAGCACGAACCGTCTTGCTAGAAAGCACGAACGTACTGGTCCTGAACCCGATCAACTTCAACTGAAGCCGGACCACAGCCGAAACCGATGCTGCAACTCACGCTAATCGTACTCATGGTTGTGGCTCGTGGTCATCGTCCTTCACGTGGATCTCAGCCTTCTCCTACCAAAGGCAAGAGTCATCCCGCAGACTCTCACGGCAAGCTTGAAACATGCACGAACATAAGATTTGGGTTTGAGGGTTCACGCTTTGCCCAAACCCCAAACACGGACATCAGAGTCTCGCCTTTGCCGCTCTCTTCTGCTCCTGTCAGCGACGCAGTTCTTGAAAATCGCACTAAGACATATGTATACTCATGAAAACAGATATGTGTATTACAATGTTTGAAAAAAAAATCAAGTATACAATACAACATAAAAGCAACCCATAACATGAACCTGCAGAAAAGATAATGGATACACGGTCATGGATACTTTCACAATAAAACTCGGCCACATATAGCAGATACACAAGATAATGTACAAAACGTATGTCGCAAGCTATATATATATATGTGTATGACATATCACCTGTATATTTATATATGATGTAAACTATATAGCAAACAGTATATGGTGTATGAGGCATGACGAATGATATGATATGACATGATACGATATGATATGATATGATATGATGTGATGTGATGTGATATGATATGATATGATGTGATGTGATGTGATGTGATATGATATGATATGATATGGTATGATATGATGTGATATGATATGATATGATATATATATATGTATGTATGTATGTATATATATATATGTATATATACAGTATCCATTCATTTATTTACCTACCTATATTAAAACATAAGAAGTGTGGTGTAATAACGACTATTAAGTATGCAAAACATAATGCAAGAAATGCAAGCAATATCTGGCATATAACGTATATTATAAAACCATATGTAATATAATATATGATGTATAACCTGCACGAATTCTAATATACTTGTATCATGTGATATATATATATATATATATATATATATATATATATACACATACATATATATATATATATGTATATGTATGTATGTACATGATATAGGATGTGATATGTATGAAACGAATATAAGCTGCTATATATTTTGCAAAGTGAAAACATGTAATATACATTATTCAAACCTGCAAACTATATGATAGCTCTGATAGGTAATGCATAATATGTAGCATGAACTATATAATAAATCATGTCATGATACAGACTTTCAACTTTCATGCCGACCATATGGCTTTATGCACAACACCACATAAACACATGACACATAATGTAAACGTATATGAACATATGCTACATAATACAAAACGGAAAATATATTTGGAAAAAATGCATCACAACCATGTACTGGAAAACCTTTAACTATACAAGAACATAACTGTCTACAGCAGCATCTATTGCTGTTGTCTTTACGACATTTACGACGGTTACTGCCAGAAGAAACTTACGATCCTGAATTCGTCTATGTTCATGATTCAATCGACTCTAACAATATCAATCCTGGAAAGAATAGTAATCTCGTTGAGCTTCCCATTGGAACCCTCGCAGGCTTGGACAGGCAGGCCCAAACACGGCCAGACAGTCCCCAGAAACTGCAATACGATACCCTAAACACTCCCAAACCCCAAACCATGCACTCTCTTCCATCTCCTGGATCTTCTGCTTTGCAGCTTGAAGTTGCTCCATCCGCATCTTCACTTGCTCCCAGCCCTGGCACCGGTGTCCAGACCACTTGAGAGGTTCAGCTTGCGTCAGTTGAAGCTCTGTGGAAAGCACCAACATGTCTAGTACGCTGCATGAACTCTCCTGTGCTATGGTCAACCCCAAATTCCCATCAAGTTGCACCGAACTAACCGCCTTGTCGTGCTCCCCTTGAATCATGATCTTCATGGATCCGCACTTGTCGAGCTCCTGGAGATTCGGTACGGTTCAGGTCTAGGTCTGGAGCAAGTACTGGAGACTTCGGATGCAAGACGAACAGATCACAAGAAACATGACTAGACGCGATTACTCAATACGCAACCCATGCTGAAATATCAAGAATTAGGCATGACTGCTAACCTTTTGTGGCTATATACCCAAGATAGGTACCACTGGACGTGGATATACGGATATGTACGTATATATATATATATATATGTATATATATATATATATATATATATATATGTATATATATATATATATGTATATATATATACATATATATATATACCCCACGAAGGCAGACCAAGACAGTCGTATGATGCCGTGTGTTTCGGCGAGTGCTGCCTTCTCCATAACCTTCGCAACCTCCTCGTGAATAGCATCGAAGTTGTCCAGGTTCGCCGTCTTCATCTGCCCACGGAGCCACGCTTAGATCAAGAGACCCCGAGGCAGACAGGACCATCGTCATGCTCACCATCACGTCATCACGTTCGTTAATGCCATCGTGAGGATAGCTTTCATCAGCAGCACGACTAACATCGTTGTCGCGACAATGCATGTAACAGTTATGGTAGTGGCCATATTCGAAGAACACCACAATCAGCATCATCATCGCCACCGCTATCATTACCATCACCACTAACCATGATACGTACCAGTCATCATAAGGATACGCGGCGACAACTGCAACAACTAAAGCACTAAAGCATCCATCATCATCGACGCCATATGCCGAAGTTTGAGAGAGAGAGAGAGAGAGAGAGAGAGAGAGAGAGAGAGAGCGAGCTTCTTTGAAGGCTGGACAATGTTACAATCAGGTCCACTTCTGCGTAGAATCAATGAGACTTCGCGCGACGGTATGCCATAAAATCGAGCTAAAGAATACTGTAGGACGTCACCATATATCATATAACAACACGGCTGTCTCACAACAGTTCATGTGGGCAGAAAGCGCTGATGTTGAAACACGACTAATCGAGGGCACGGCAATGCATACTGCAGAACATAGGGTCATGTGACGACGACGTAAGCATCTCATCACACATTAGTTGTTTGCAACAGACCGTACATTGTTCGTAACGACTACATAATGTACTTGCTTCATCACCATCCAATATACAAGCACTGAGAAACAAGTGACGCAAGACTTATAGCATGTTGGAAACTGGATGCAGATACGACGAGAACCTGGAAGATTATACAAGACCCCGTCTACCATTCTAAGTTCTGGTATTTATATAATTAAGTACTAGGTAACTCAGAGAACTGATGGCAGCAACACACAGACACATCTTCCAACACTGTAGAGGATAACGTCGTGCCGTCCCTTACTATATGATACTACAGAGAACATATAACCACATGCAAGTGTGCCACAACACGCCATCTCATAAAGGGCATTGCGTCTCGAACTGACGTGGGGAAGTGCCAAGAAGATGTAGCCGTACGACATAACACCACCCTTTGACACTAGACAGGAGCCTGAGCAGCTGCATGGTTTGGGAAACTCAGAAATTACGTAGTATAGACTATGTGACGAAGATTGCTGCCTTCTCCCCAAACCTTGCAGCAACGCAAGTGACGGTATTTTCCGCATCTTAGCTCAGCTGGTTTCGCTGTGCCGTGTGCCGAAGCGGTCGACGGGGTTGCGGCATCGAAGCCGTGCATCGAAACTGACAGGGTCCCAAAAACAGCACACAACATCAGGATCCGTTTGAATGTGCTTGTGTCGAACCCCACGTTTTAGGGGGCCCCCTACTACGGCATGAAGGTTGGATCCTTGTGTTTGTATGCTGATTTGCGCCCCTATTTTCCCAACTGCCACAACCAACCAAACGCAGAAGGGTTGAGTTGAGGGCTTCTGGCTACAAAGCTTAATGTGACAGAACAGAGGTGGGAGACTTGGGGATCCGCGTCTCTGCCCCGGACACCCGAGGCTGGCAGAGCCCTGGCCAAACTCGTCTGATCAACACATGCTGCACGTGCGTGTAGATAGATATATATATATATATATGTTTATATTTATTCAGATATATATATATATATATATACAGAAGGATAGAAAGATGCTGACATGGATATGGATATACGGTCAAAGTTCAATAATAAGTGCATGAACCGTCTGCGTGCAGGCTTCAGGGCTCCAGCTGGGTTCGGTCGACCCGTGGTGTCGAGGCAGAGGTCACAAGGGCTCACACACCGCACGAAGGCCCACTAGATCTAATTGATGGCCGACATGATGGCTTTGGGGAACATGTAAGTGCTGTGCATTAAGGAATGCGCTCAGACTTTCTTTCTATGTCATAGACTCTACAGTCAGACTTGGTCGAGGTGGTATGGTATTCGCGTTTAACTTTCTCACGAGACAACCAGGAGTCACCGCTTCGATGGACTGACCTGAGAGACGGAGGATTTCACGGCCATGCGTCCGTCCGCAGCACTTTCGGACTGAGCTGGAAGCCACTGGCGAGGTCGAATAGAAGACCTTCACAGGTATGTGGGTGTGGGGGATCAGGTACCTGTGTACATGCTATCTGTGAATCAAAGTCCCATCTGCGCCTGCACCACCGGGCCCGTGTTGGGTCTCCAATTGCTTGGGCTAGGAACTGCCTGGCATCGGCCAGTGAAAAAGTGTGGTCACATCTGCCATCCGCCATGGTTCTTAGTTTTAAAGCCTGAAGCAGGTGATCCCTTGCCACGCAAAAATCCAGCTGGGAGGTGTCGTCCTTCGCCCCCGTTTTCCCTTTACCCGAGACGGACCAGTGGGCACCTTTGGCAGGATAACCGGCTGTGCAGTCGGAGTCGAGACGCCACCAGCAGCACGCCCGAAAGCCTGCAAATCCGACCCACCCTGAATAACTAGAATGGGGTTCTATAGTTCAAAAGAAGGAACCCCAAAAATAGTACAGGTAACCCTGGAACGGATCCGCGGAAGCTTCTCTCAGGACTCGAAGATTTGCTTTCCATTTCCATTCGGAAAAGCATATCGAGCTGAGAAGGGAGAAGTACCAAGATCGCAAGATCCGCCGTTTCTACTTAGTGATTTTGTCTATTGTGTTGCGTTAGTATTGCTCATTTGTTGGGTTTCAAAGTGGGAACAGAGGTGGATACAGTCTTATCTATGGCGTGCCTGTAATACACCAGCAGCAACAACAACAATCATGACAAAGCGGCAAGACAGGACAAACCTTCTGGCTATGCTCATGCTCATGCATGTGGTCGTCTGTTGTGGTAGCATATAATGCAACCAAAACTAGTGCATGCCTTCGAGTAAACACAAATCAATGGAAAACCCATCATCTGTAAATGTAGAACCCACAAGGCTCTATGCAGGCAGACATCAGCAGATCTCTGCATGTCAGGCCGTACGATCTCATGGCTAAGTTGTACTGGAAAGCCAATACATGTATCCATGTATCTGTTGGTCATCCTCTGGCGAATACGGAGAATGCTGCACATGCTTGCCCACACAGAAATTGTTTTAAAATGTATACACAGTGTGGTCGAAATTTCACTAGTGTAATCCGTCGGTGTGAGCACACATGAATAACTCATCATTTACACGGATCTGGCCTTGATGCCTGCCTTCCAAACATCATTCCAGCAGATGCATGTCGTACTCGTCTTCATGCTGCAGTTACTACGATATCATGCCTGCCAATGAAGACAACTCACTTTCCGATACCTTCATCCCTGCTACCAATTGCTACCACCATGATGGCCGCTGCCATCGATGAGACCCTGGTTGCATGTGTGGAAGGCGCCAAAGCAAACTCTCGAAGAAAGACACCTCCCCGCTCGATGGCGAGGGACTATTGAAAACCTGGGCGCCGTTTCAGTGAATGCTTTTCGAGCGGGGACTTTCAGGCCTACAGGGAAGGGCAATGTGGTCTCAGTGACAACAACAGATCAGACAAGCAAGATGGCAGATGTCTACTCCAAGATTGAAGTTTGCGCCACGTGCTTTGTGACATCCTACGGTCCTATGCCGCTGCAGCCGAGTCTTTTTGTGCAAGAACTCCGATGAATCCTCCTGCTTGGACAGGAATCTACAGGTTTGAAGGGGCCTTAAGTACCTTCCTACATACATGCACATACATACATACTTACTTACTTACATAAAAGTGCATGACAAAGTTTGTGGAAACACGCACTCTGAGCAGCCACGAAAGGAAGCGCAGAGTCAGCAGGCATCCATTTTCCGCAGCAAACAAAAGTGGCTGTAGGCCTCGAGAGAAAGAGGCCGCGGTTCATGCAGTGAGCAAAGCCAACGTTGCACAGCCGATGCTTTATCATCCCATCTATTCTTTTGTTGCATAGAGATAGCTAAGGAGAATCGGCTGGGCAGCGCTGCTTTACTCGCTCCTGGTGAAGAAAGTCACCAACACCGGGGCGGCAACCTTTAAGAGGCCGTGCTGATTCGCCTCTTCGAGGTAGCGGGTTTTCCGCTCAAGCACTCGCCAAGTTAACTCGCCCGTGGAGCGCTCATATCGAGCAAAAGAAGTCCGAAAAGGAAACTGTGCGCTCGAGAACCTCGGTTCAGGAGTTCGGAAGCTCTTGGCGTTATGGGCCACGTTCACGCCCATGGTCCCCTGTGAGTGCCACCCGCGTTGCTCAGCAAACTTCAGCAAGAACCCCATCAGAGGATCGTTGCCGTCCACAGCCTCGCCTGGTAAGGAGGTCGCGGTGGCCGTAGAAGGAGGAGGGGCTCTTTTACCCTTTGAAACCTGCTTCACAAACTCAGGGCTGTATGTGATGCTCCAGATCCCACGCCGCAGGGTGTCCTTCAAGTGCGAGACGTCCATGTACTTTGTTCCGGCGTCGCAGAACATGTTGCTGGAGGCCGTCCATCGCAAGGCCGTATTGGGCCGTCGCAAAACGGCTCTCAACCAAGCCACGGTGAAAGCCAGGCTCTTCTGAGATCCAAACGACGAGGTGTCGCTGTTCCCTTTGTCGTGCACGTCCTTGGCGTCCACCACCACCACCACCAGTGGGATGCTATTGAGGCTCTGGTCGATGGCCTGCTTCGTCTGAAGGGGCAGTCCTTTTGCAGCTGCCAGAAAGCCACGGGTGAGAAGCCCGACGTCGAAAGCTTCCTCGGCGCCCAGCGTCTCTGAAGCGTAGCTTGAACGGCACACCCGAGCCAAGCGGTGACTCCGAGTGTCCAAGACGTTGAAGCGGCCAGGGCGTCCAGCAAGGAGGTCAGCGTCGGCCAGGAGCACGAAGTAGCAAGCCTGGCTGTAGACCTTTTCCAGCGGTGCCGCCTCCCCAGAGCCGGTCTGGGTCACGTTGCCCAGCGAGCTGTCCGTCACCACCACCAGCCCGGCCGTCTCGAGGTCGATGGGCTGAAACACCATCTCATAGGCTGGGTCCTTCAGGAACTCGGCCAGGAGCGCGTTGGCACGGAGAAT